ACCCACCACCCAAGCTTAGAGGGATGCTTTTATAGAGAAAACGTTTTCTTCTTATTATATCATTCTTTCATCATATTCCGTCATTTTCTTAAAAAATTATGTTGTGTTGATCAAAATTGTGCTAGCGTACGACTAATTAACTTAACGTCTACATATACATTCTGTCATTATAATAACGCAACTAAAAGGACTTAGATTTAGGATCATACTTTTTTAGTCATATTAGTATATTCATTATATCAGCAATTCATCATATTTCTGTCATTTTCTCGATCATGTCTTATGCTGACATCAATTGAGCAACAAAAAGCTTGTCTTAAACAGTATTATGTCGTCATAACTAAACTTAATTCTATGCTTTTTCGTCATATTATCATTTGTTTATATCACTTCTATCATGTTTCCGTCATTCTTTCGATCATGTCTTGCACTGACATCAAATTAGGCAAAAACTTGTCTTATCAATATTACGCCGTTTTTATTTTCATGCTTCATATTATTATATTTATTACATCACTTTATTATATTTCTGCCATTCTCATGTCTTGAGCTGACATTAATTGGGCAAAAAACCTGTCTTAATAGTATCATGTCGTCACAACAAGAGACTAAAGCTTAATGCTATGCTTTTTCGTCATATTATATCATTTGTTTATATCACTTTTATCATATTCCCGTCATTCTTTCAATCATGTTTTGCGCTGACATCAAATTAGGCAAAAAACTTGTCTTATCAATATTACGTCGTGTTTAATTTCATGCTTTTTTCGTCATATTATTATCGCTTCTGTCATATTTCTGTCATTTTTTCGATTATGTCTTGCGCCGACATCAATTAGGCAAAAAACTTGTCTTGACAGTATTATGTTGTCATGAAAATCTAACTAAAAAGACCTCAAGTTAATGTTATGCTCTTTTTCGTCATATTATTATCACTTCTCCGTCATCCTCTCGATTATGTCTTGCGCTGACATCAATTGGACAAAAAAACTTGTCTTATCAATATTACGTCGTATTAAGAATGCAACTAAAGCGACTAAAGTTTAACGTTATGCTTTTTTTCGTCATAATATTATTGCTCTATTACATTACTGTTAATCATGTTTCCGCAAAAACCTTGCCTTACAGTATAATGTCGTCATAAGAAGACAATAAGTTATGCTTTTAGTATACATAATTACCCTTTTATCATATATTTATAATATAGTTTTCCGCCCGTCTTGCAAAATTGCGCAAAGACAGTTGTAATTGCATTACGTCATTGACGTTGCGCTTTTTTCATCATAGATTCGATTTTGAGAATGCTATACTAACCGATTAAGTAAACTAAGGGAAATAAATTTACGCTTAAAATAAATTTACACTCAATACATGTACTTGTGGCACAAACGCCCCGTGTAAACAATCAATCATGTATTTGTTGCACACACGCATATGCCATGTGAAAAAATTAATATTAGTATATATCTGCCCTCCCCCACAAATTATAGTGCTGATCGTTAATCGATTTCTATCAACCTTTCTCTACGCACTACAGCTTTGTTAACCCCTTCGCATTTCTTACTGACTTAATAAAGCGAGTTTATCCATAAGACAACAAAAAATGTCTCAAGTCGTCGATATATTCACAGTTGATTCTCTTCAAACTAACGAATTCGTTTACTATGCTACCCATTCATCGTCCATTAATGACAACCATCTCACTTACCCTTCTACGTCCTCTCCATCTGAGATGACACTTATCCAGACTTATAACTCTTCAACTACACCATATTGGCGTCCTTCTGATGAACTTAAAAAAATCTTACGTATACTTTATGAAGAAGATTACGCACAATTTCCATGCATTCCCTGTTCTTATTGCTCGCGCTTATTATACCCACAATCTGCAAAATGGGTAACCAGAAATAATGACATTACATATCCGTTAGAAATATCTTTTCCAGAAATAAATCTTACTACTAATCCACGCAACGCAACAAAAATTGCAGTTTGCGATGGATGCAAATCAAATTCTAATAATAGAACTTGTCTTACGCTTGCTCCAATACCTCAATGCATTCACGATGTACCATATGCCAAAAGAAAATATCTATCTCCCATATATCTACATACCAGTTTAGGTCGATCTGCTGGTACAAACCCTTTTGCAGAGTATCGATCACTCACTGGTCAAATGGGATATTCTAAAAACCGAAGAACATTTTCACTTTATTCTGGTATGATTGGTGCATTTTTGCAAAACGCTGATTTATCTGCACCTGATAATCGCTGGTACCACCCATCCTTGCGTTATGCCTGTAATTGGCTCCAGCAAAATAATCCTTATTTGTCTGCTTATCATTCCATTGCTTCGCATTTGCTCACGCATAATTCCCAAACATCTCCTACTGTCTGGCCACAGGCAACCCATGTATCTGATAGCAATAATGAATTTACTTTTTCCGTAACTCCGTCAGACATAGTTTTACCATCATACGTTTTCCCCGATGAAATACATAACGAAGATACCCACTATTCCCGTTTAGCTATAGGCTTTCTCCAAGGAGACAATGAGCGCCAAATACCACTACACTTTAATGATCCCGAACTGGAAGCCGTTTTATTTCCTGACTTATTCCCAGATGGTCGCGGGTTTTATAGCGACGTATGTAATCGTTTGAATTCCAATAGTAAAACCATGACATATGGCAAATATATTAAATCACAATTAATGGGATTTGACTCCCGCTTTCGTCTTCATCCTGTATGGATGATGTGGTCATACATGCAATTAGAAAAATTGCGAAATTTTCAAAATACTGCACGCCTGTATCGTCAAAACGTTAATCTTACACATTCTTCCCTTTCTGCCATACAATGGCTACGTAAAAGTCATTATACCAATGAAATGATAGTAGATGAACAGAAATCAATGCCTTTGCCCACTTTTATTCGTACCGGTGATTCTTACTTTAAAGAAAAAGAGCATCACTTAAACACTATGGTAAACGCAAGGGGTCTACCGACTTTGTTTGTCACTTTATCCATGGCTGAAAGCAAATGGATTCATCTTACCGAAATACTCCGTAATTCTGATAATGGTGATACTAATCCTACCAATCGCCCATTCCATGTGTGTATGTATTTCATACAACGTTATCGCTCATTAAAGAAAAAATTATGGCATAACAGACGTCTTAGTGGATGGAAATCTATCTGCGATTTTTTTGAACGAGTGGAATTTCAAAACCGTGGTGCTGCGCACTTACATATAGTGCTCTGGACAGAAGCTACAATTGAAGAAATGATTGCAGCCGATGAAATACGCAGTACTATTCCAAATCTTGAAAACGAACCCGAACTATATGCGAAAGTACGCACACATCAAATACATACCTGTCAACCCCATTTATGTGGAGGTCCTCCACCAATTGGAGAACAATGCAAGCGTCATTTTCCTAGACCTCTTGCTGATAGAACATATCATGATCCGACATCTTTACATTATATCTATAAAGCAATTACAGAAGAAGACAGATGGATTGTTCCATACCACGCACCTACTTTGATTGCTTGGGATGCTCATTCAATACGTAACCAGTAAAGGGTTTGCTCGATATATGACGAAGTATATATCTAAGGCTGAACCAAGTCATATTTTCAATATAAGGGAAAATAATCGTTATTATCATCACGTGCTTGGTAGAAGATTAGGCGCCATGGAAGTCATATTCTTAATAACGGGGGAAACAATTTGCAATTCGTCTGCTACTGTAAATTTTTTACAAACAGACCCTCCCAATATCCGATCTAAAACAATACTGCCCGTTGCAAATTTATTACAAAACCCAGAAAACCCTTACTATGCAGACACTATTGAGAAATATTTTCGTCGCCCTTATGGACAAGAATTTAATAATCTCAAATATGAAGAGTATTATCAACAATATGAAATTCGTAGTCCCAATAACACATCTGCAAATGGAACAAGAGATCTCGATGGCAGAATAATAGTGAAGAGAAAAAAACCAATATTAACACGCACTCGTTTCACGAAATTAAATGACGGAGAAACATATTACTATTACAAACTATTAAAAACAAAATCTTGGAGATCAGAACAAGAATTAAAGAGTTCTTTTACCTACTATCGCGATCATTATTTCTCCATATTTCCTAATGAACTACAAACAATGCGTGAAGAAACACGTTCATACATATCGCAATTAACTACGCACCTCGAACACCAATTTACATCTATAGTCGATTCTCATTTACAAACCTTGCAGCAAGAGATTTCCATCACGAATATTGACATTATAAAATATCAATTAAATATGTTAAAGAGATTACCCCATATAACTCCATGTATAGCCGGCACAGATCTACCGCAAGATCAATATAATGCCATTACAGTATTGTCAAACATGATGGGATCAAGAAATAACCAATGGCCTTATTACTTTTTGACAGGCTCTGCAGGCACTGGAAAATCTTTTATTATACAACATTTTCGCACTCATTTACAACAAACTAATAAAAAATATTTAATGTTGGCACCTACTGGTGTAGCGGCACAAAACGTCGATGGCATGACTATTCACTCTGCTTTAAAAATCTCATCAACAACTACAAATTCCCGATCATCATATCAAACTCTAATATTTAACGATGCATCATTACTGAATGAGATGCGACGTATTGAAACGATTATCATAGATGAAGTGTCTATGGTTTCTTCAAGTCTGTTTACATTTATATCCGATACGTTTGCTAGAATTCACAATAACCATAAACCATTTGGTGGTATCAATGTATTAGTGGCGGGTGATCTATGTCAGTTACCCCCTGTTCAAGGAACAGCCGTCTTTCATTCTCCCGTATGGCAGTTATTTTACCCTCTCTTTTTACGCAAGTCTCAACGGCAACTTAATGATAACCAGTATTTTAACTTACTAGAAGAAGTGCGGGTTGGCAGAATATCAGATGCATCATGGCAAATGTTACAAAGAAAACACTTCCAATATTCTAATACGCTAACTTCCGCAAACGCTTTTAATACCACCTCCATTGTCGGATATAAACAATCAGCAGAACAACTTAACATTTTTCTTTGCAATTTATTACAA